CCCCCTGCTTCTTGATTGCTTTGTAAATCAGTTTCTGAATCCTAAACAATAGAAGTCTCTTGCTTCAGATAACTACTTGAAAGCCTGTGACTTCCTAACATCCCCCAGGCCAGTACACTGAATGCCAAACCCATTCTGGGCCTAGACAACTGCAGCCACCTGAGTAACAGGCTGAATGGCCATAGGCTTCATGAGAACAAAACAGATTTATCAATTAAAATCTATTTTTCCTCATTCAGGGACCTTGGGGATACAGAGACTACCCCAACAAGATTGCTGGTCACAACCAAAGAAGCCAACACGGTCTTCCAGGCGGAGCTTGAGACCCCTTCCTCTCATCTGAGATCAGCTAGGGTGAGAGTTTCGTGAATCCCCCAATAGGCAGGGACAGTGCTACGCCCCTGCCCAGCAGGAAGCAGATACAGAAGAAAAGACCTGCTGTCCCTCAGCTTCCCATAGAGATTTTATGGGATCACGTTTCTCAAGGGGAAGGCTAGGTAGGCAGACAGAGGCAGACATTGGGTCTCTGCATTCCTGTACGTCCCACAGAATGTGACCGCCCGGTGACCTCCCCTCTCAACCCAAAACTTCTTTTCATTGTAACTATCTATCCCTAAAACAAATGGGTACAACTAGATCAGACCAGGCACTCACACCTGCGCAGTACAGCGTGTCAATCACAGGTGCCAATCAAGTGGTCCCACGCCCTTAGGGGAACAGCCCATTCTAGAGAAGGGATAAAAACCCCAAGTCCTGGAAAGTTCGAGCCTTTTTCCCTTTTTGGACGCCCTGCTCTCTTGATCACTTATTCCTTTTCGAGCCCTTTGAGCCTCGCCTTTATGCGTGGCTGGCTCCAAACTCTTTTAATGTAATTTCTTTTCTAATAATGGGCCCTTGAGCTACTCTCTACTGCTGGGCCTACTTCTACTCTTTGAAATGTATTATCTTCTCGAATAAACTACTTTTTCAGCGCTTTACTCTGGCATCTCGTTCAACTCCTTGCTCGAGTTGCCAAGGACCTGGATTTCGCGCCGAAAAGGGCCCACTTTCCGACAACACAGGCATCAGAGGAAACAAACAATTCTTGTGATGAATGCCGGAAGCCTTGGGAACAGCCAAGCTGAAGTCATGTCTCTCTTTGAACTCTGGTTTTTGTCGTACATGAGAAAACTGACACTCAGAAACCATTGGGCTTTCAACGTAAGAAAGCAGAAAACCAGCGTATAAGATGACAGATCAGCGGGGCAAAGGACAAAGTGAAATGAGTGAAAACGAGTGAAGAGCAAGACACGTCAATCCCCTCGGTGAATGAAACCTGTAGCACCTTGGCGATGTCAGGCTCGGAAGCAATGAAGCTGCAGAACGTGGACATGGCGCTGGGACCATCGAGCATGCCGTCGTCCATGTTGACGTCCAGCACCTGGGCTCCCATTTCCACTTGCACCTTGGCAACACTCAGGGCCTCCTGAGGGAAGAGCGCGACAGGCGGCAGCGTAAGGACAAGATGACTCAAGAGAAGGCTGGCCAAGTCATTCCTCGCCACCCACAGCAGTCCTTCCCAGTCGTACTAGACTCACCGGCCAGCCTCCGCAGCTCTGGGCCTGGTCTCCACCCAGCAACCACCACCGATTAACCTTCTTAACATCTTTCCCATCAAGCACATCGTTTCACTGCTCAGAATCCACCGAGGCTGTGTTTTCCTGCCATAAAGAATCTACTCCTCAGCCTGGTGTTCAGGCCCCGTGTGACCTGGCCCTATCTTCTTACCTAACTGTTCTTCCCCCTCCTCTCCCACGGGTCCCCTGCACCCAGCCAAGTCTGTCTCCACCTCTGTGTTACAGATTATGGTGTCCCCTCTGCTGGGAATACAATCCGCTTCCTATCTATATTCTGTAAGACCCAACTCAAGTCCCATCTCCAAGAAAAGTCTTTGGAGAAACCATCCAAAATGTACATAACTCTTTAGTATTTGCCAAACGATGCAAAGCATTCATTGCAGTCTGTTGACAGGAGTTACATGAAATATGAGTTAGATAAATGTCAGCATGTTCTTCAGATCCTTTAATACACTACTATACACTATAAATCTCCACGAACAGAACACAATGCACATGCACAGCATTTCCCACTGTGACTATTAAAAGAATGTCTGGGAGGATCAGTGTTCCGAGAACAAACTTTAGGGAACACTGCTTAGTCCCCAACGAGCCACAGCTGCTAAACCTCTGTCACAATTACAATCATTATCACATGATTCATTATATTGTCCTTTCCTCACAATTTCGTAAATATTAGCTTATTCCTCGAAACAGATTTGAAGTGTTTGGAAATCTAGCAAGGTGTTATGTGTCTCCCACTCTCCTCTGAACAACGCTGGGCAAAATATACATGTTCAATCATGCTCTCTAACTGGCTGATACAACAGACCTTATTTTGTTTCAGTCTTCGTTATACATTTCATAGTGTGATAATTTTTTCTTAGCCCAAGAAAACTAGATAGACATGTCTAGAAATCACTGTGATAGAATGGGCATGAGGCCCTTGGCATTTTCCACGAGGAAAGACCATTCATAATGACCCAAAGGTTACACAGAGCAAAAGGATCACAGTAAAATCCAGCAAATGAAAAATGGTTCAAGATCAGCAATGTGTCACATACAGTAAAGAAACAATGACGTGTAAGTCACAGTCCCTGTTCTTGAAAGACTCACATTCAGTTGGGGGCATATGACACAGTCACATAAAAAACTACTGGTACAGCCATACAGTGTGTGAGTCACATGCCAAGAATGCCTGGACACCAGGAAGTCAAGGTCTCTGTGGCCTGAAATGGAGAAAGCTCCCTAAGGAAGCATCTTCAGCTGGACCCTGGGTGATGGGCTGGAGGAAGCAGGGAGGAGACCACAAGTGACCTGGTGAGACCAGAGGTCAGATGACTTGGAAAAGTGGAATGTCAACATCTGACCTTCCCACTTCCTGCGAGTCACAGAATAACAGCTTGTGGGTCCAACCTTCCCAAGTTGGCTCAGAAAGATGAAGTGATTTGGTTAAAGACGCTCACGTTGAGCAAAAGGGCATGACTGGGACTGCTTTCAGGTCAGCGCACTTTGATCCTTGAGCATCACTGCTCATGGGAAACTAGAATCGAATGGGGCCTCACTCCCACTACCCACTTCCTGCATCTACCGCGGCCTCCTATGTCCTCCAGGCAGAAAGCAGAGTGATTGAGGGTTGGGTTTGGTGGACGTGGGATCTATCATTACTGTGAAACAGCCTCCAGCTGCATATCTGTAAAATGGGGCTAACAACAGTACCTATCTCACAGGTCTGTGAAGATTAAACGAGTAATGATGCAAAGCACTTTGGCTCAGAGGAAGACCTTATTAAACGATAGATTAATTACTCGCCTAAAATGCCCTCTGCTCTCAGCACCAAATCTATCAAATTTGAGAGCTAAAAGAGACACCACAGAATGGTCATAAGAATAAAAACGTAAGTAGAAACACTGCCAATTGAAGAAGAACACTATACAACTATGAAGGGTCACTAGGATTTCAGAAAGGAACAAACATGAACAAGCCACGAGGAATGTTCAGAGGACAGATCAGGAAGGGAAGGCAGTTTGGGGCCTATGTGGAGAGCACTAAATGATGGTGTAAGGAGTCTGGATTTATCATAGATGCAAACAAGGTCCCCTGGGAAAGCTTGTGAACTGGGGAGCACATGACAGAAACACTTGGTAGCAGTGAGCAGTAGCAGGAATGAAGGGAGGAGGATGAATAGGACCTGTCAGGAACCAGGGTACCAGAGGGTACCTCTGAGGGAGGCCATGGAGAAGTAATCAACAGGTCCATAAAGGATGATAAATGGGCTCTTTCTTTGTGATTAAAACAAAGTCTGCTTTGATAGTGGTTTCTGGAAGATCTATTTCCTAAAGATTGCAACACCTTTAATTGAGAGAAGTTTGATGTTAAAATACATCATCATTAAAGCCCAGACCAAATTCCTCCATTGTTCACTTCATATTTGCATCTGGATAGATGTTTAGGGTAGGTTCTATTTGAATTAAATTTTCCTCATGCATAGTGACCGAGCTTAAAAACACTATGGCTGACCTATCAGGTGAACTTCCCAAGGCAGAGCCTCCTCTTTATTTTGTGTTGCTTTTTTGTTTCAGTCTACAGCTAACAGAATCAGTAATTCCACATTACTCAGTGCTTGATGTGGCCATGAGGAATGGAAGAGAAATTTTCTTGGCTTTGCCTTTCCCTAGAAGGGTTGAGAAGCCAAAATGAAGAGCAGTCTCAAATTTTTAAACTTATTTCAAGAGTAATAGAAATAGCTAGAACCTCCCATCTCATCCCACTTCATACTCCAAACGCAGTACTTTTTGACAAATATTGACAATAGCAGCTTCAATTTTTCAAAGCCTCCTCTTCCCACCAGCCCAGCCTGCTGCAAACACACATTATAACTCTTCTCACACCTCCCAGCAGCTCTGCTAATATCATGACCAAAGGCTGGCCAATGAGCTACTTCATTCACATGCTGTCTAGGCAAATACATGGCAGATGCCTCAAGGGATGTATTGAGATGCTCACTTCATAGCTTCCTGCCATGATGAGTTTCGCAAACTTCCGGGATCCTGCCACGTTACAGCGTTCTCCGATATTAACAAAGTTGGTGTACGGTCCAATCCTGAAGGGCTCTAGACCTTAAAATGAGAAGCAGTTTGAAAAATTTCTTGAAAATGCATAAGATGACATGAGACAAGGAATATATTTTCTTTCCATGAGGAAGAAAAGACGTTTCTGTGCCACAGCCCACTTGAAGGGACAGGAGGTGTGAGGCGGGACCAGCGCCAGCGCCTCCCTAGGCCCCCCTAGGGATACGAAAGCTATTATGTTGCAGCTACATTTACAAGCAGAACTCTCAAAAGGAGAAATAGTCCAGGGTTTTAAATTGCTAATTTCTCTGAAGAGCTGAATCATACCAGCTCTGAGAAACAAGGAAAACTTATCAGCAGATCCCTGTTTAAGCAAGAGTCTGGGGCAGAAGCCATGAAGTCAGAATCAACAGGATTGCTCCACAACTGTCCACGCAGACGTCAGCTTGAAGCCAAATGGAACAAGCTTTGCTAATCCCACCAGCTTTACCATGTCCCTTTGATCCAAAGTCCAAGAACCCATAACTAGCAAGGCTGAACAGAGTCCGGGAGGGCCCAGGCCAAGCCCTGGGAGACGGGGGTCACCACGGCAGGTCTGCACCCGTGAGATGACTCCGGGCAAGCCACTGGGCTTTCTGCACCTCTTCCCCTATTTCAAGAGGCAGTAACATCTGCCCTGTTCCAGGCCAACTTTGGGACAAAACCAGATAATACATGCGGATACATTACACTGAGGTAAAAACAACATCCGGGGTAAAGTGTCACTGCAGAAAAGGCCTTTAAGCATTTTGTTCTACTCATTATAGCTCACGTATCAGGAGAGGGAGTCCTGCAGAGGGGTAACAGGCAGGCTCTGAGGTCAGCCAGTCTCAGGTTCAAGCCCTTCCCACCCGCCTTAGTGAACAGGCCAGGTGATTGCTCCCACAGCCTCTGCGCTCAAAAAATAGAGACAAGGAAAGTATATGCATCCTAATGTTACTGTAAAAATGAGACTAGATCCATTGATAAACATAAGATGAGCACCAGCAATCGTTGCTGCTGTTGTTAATAAAAGAAAATGGCTTTGACTCCTTTGCCAAAGCACTGATTGCAGAAGAGACAGATGTGGGGGAGGGGAAAACAGTGAGTACAGACGGGCACCTGTTCACTGACTGGTCAGGGTGACCGGCCACCTCTTCCCAGTCTGGGCTTGCGATTTCCCTCCCCACTGATAATGACCCTCCCAACCTCGCTCCCGCCTCAAGGGTCCCTGATCCCTAGTCAGACCCTGAGACTTGCAGGGCTAACAAGCTCAGGTGCTGGCATTTAAAGGAGACCCTGCATCACAGCCCTAAAAGCATTTCCCACAAAGCACTTCTGCTCTATTAAGAACACAAAATAGCTCATTTGAAAACTACATTCTTCACAAGTGTGCAATTTATAAAAGAACTATTTAAAAGAGTGTATGTCATTTTTAAAAATCTGATTGAAAACGATTTTTAAAGCAATTTAGAAACAGCACATGAAATTCAAATTGGAAAAAAAGACTTTCATTCCTACATTAAAACTCTTTTTAAAAATCATATCTAAATCATATCTTGTTTCAACTTTGGCAAAGATTGGCAATTTTAACTGTTAGTCCTGGGTGAAGTCAATTAATAGCTTTAAGATCTAAGAATGAAATAAACTGCCATACCAAACCTCTCTCTGACAAAGTCACATTTGGGGGTAAGGGATGTGTCACAAATCATCAACTCCTCTTCCTCTAACCTCATCCTCTGTCTTTGGAGCATAAGAAGAAAACAGGGCAGCCTGACCAGGCGCATTGTTAACCCAGCCTCACTGGGCTTAATTCTACGCAGGGCATTCTGAGTGAGAAAAATGGGTATTACTATTGCTGGCACATATACTTTATTTTACTTCTCTTAGGAGAACATAAGGAACAAAAATATCTCAATTTAAAGAAAAGTTAAATTCTGAATTGTTAGGGTGTATAATTCCCCGTGTGTGCAATTTGCAGGTTCTCTAAGAATCTGTTTATACATGTTTTTTTTGTTTAAAGATACTATCAAGAATGTCATTAAAGGATTGTGGGGAAAATATAAAATTTAAAGACATTTTCTAATAGTTGGCATGATGAACTATTTTACCAGCATTCCTTATTTGAACATCAAAGCTCATTCTTTCTCAGGGAGGTTGCCTACCTCTCAAGACTGCTTGAGGACAAACAGAAAAATAAACACCACAGCTCTCTGTAAAGTGCTGGACACACGACAAATGTAAGATCATGACAATAATATTTTAGAAACAAGCAAAACTTCTAGAAAGAGGCTGCTGTCATTATAAAACATTGAGCCTGGCGGCAAATCTGATAATGAGAATTGTCAGGCTGTGGCCAAGAGAATGTTTCCGAAACAGTGCACAGCAGAGACGGGACCATGTGACTTCTAATTCTAACCAAGGGCCCCTGGGTAAATTCCTTGCCTTCTCACATTTTCCCGGAAGTTAATGTCACCCCTAGAAAAACAAAGGTCTCCTCACTGAGAAAAACTTACACTCTTCTTCGACATAATAAACAAGTGGTTGGCACAAACATCACTACCACATTGGATAAACACACTAAATTAATCTGCAGATGCTTTCTGAAATCACACAAACCACGTCTTGCAGACTCACCCGACAGTAACATATGCCCGTCAAACACAGTGGCAGGTGGAACCCGAGGCTTACAGTTTTTCACAGCTTCAGCAATTTCCCTGAGTTAAAAGAGAAAACACGATATCCATTAATTCAGAATAAAATAAAATTAAACTCATTTCCAGCGATTAAATTAAGTCTATTTCACATAATTATGCATAATTATATACCTCATTCCAAACGCGCAGCACCAATTATGCCGTTTAGTTCTCCCACCCATGCAGAAATGAATCCCTGAACCTGCTTTCTGTACCTGCCCAGTCTGCTGTGCGCTGACTCTACCAGCTTCCGCACTGAGATGGGAACCGAGAGATGGTGATGACTCGCACAAAAGCAAATTGCACATCCCGTCCTCCCTTTCCCAAACTCGCAGAGGTCCTTCACCCCATCAAGTCTACACATGAACCATGTCCTTGCTGCTCACTCAGTAGTTCCAAAGAAAAAGGGCTCCATTGCTGAGAAGGAGGAGCAAACAGGAGGGGAGACACCAGGAAATTAAATCCTTTGGGTCTGTTTTTTCCAAGCACAGCATGCACATAGTAGGGAGCACACACAGGAATACATCACTGAAGCTCCAAAATAACTCCTAAAAATGTTTTAATTATTCATACACGTTTTAACCTAATCAGCTTTAATGGGTTATGCCTTTGGTCAACCTGAAAAAATCTGGCTACTCCACTAAATTTATCAAGACCAGTACGACCTGTTCTCTCTACTGCCCCCCAAACCAGTATGAGGAAGTCAAGGTAAAAGCAGCAAATATACATATACCTCTATATATATTTATATATAGATATACACATGTTATATTATCTGTATAATATATACACATGCGTACAAACATACACCAGTAGATTGACAAATAGACATATATATATATACACACACACACACACATATTTTTTTTTATTTAATACACCCATAGTTTTAAAACAACTCTTTTTAAAAACAGATAACCTTAAAAACAAGGAGATCAAGATAACCTATCTTCAACTATTGATAGCTTTCAGAGATTATTTAAAAGATGCTCAAAAAATCATATAGACTCTATTTAATAGTCTATCTTATTGACTCTATTTCACAGAAATCTACAAAAGTACTGAAATATTAGGTAACTCAACACCGAGAATATAATATACACATGAAACAGACTCAGAACAGTAAGATGAATGGCTCAAAATATGACCATCAATCACTGCAGGGAAAAAAAACAAACAAACCATCCTAAACTGTTCTATTCCACTGAATTCCCATCTTCTCATGAGCCACAAAATTGCAAGACCCACACACCACTTCACCAGGCTCCAGGTCACACTCGCTTCCTCACTCACTCACTGGGCTACGTGGGTGAAGCAATGAGTGTGCAGGGCAAGGTGAGACACTTCTCCCGACCTCAGGTGCTTGTGGTCTTAGCGCCTTTTCCTTCAGGAGAGAATCTAAGGGAGGCAGGCACCTGCCCACAAGAAATGAGCTGTCTCTCCTTGAATATTCATGCATTAGTCATGTACTTAAAGGTAGAATGTTATATATCTGGGATTTGCTTTACATTAGTCTAAGGCGAAAAAAGTTGGGGACTAGGTAAAATAAGAATAGCAAACGTTGAAAATTATGAAAACTGTGATAGGCACATGGGGATTCATTCATCTTATTTTAGGAATTTTTCATAATATAAAGGTATCTCAGTTTGCTAAGGCTACCATAATGAAATACCCCAGATTGAGAACAGTAATTTAAATTACAGAAATTTCTTTCTCAAAGGAGGCTACAAGTCTGAGATCGAGGTGTCAACAGGGCTGGTTTCCTCTAAGGCCTCTCCTTGGCTTCTCCTCTCCTTGTCGTCACAGTCCCTTCCTCATTATGTGTCTGTGTCCTAATCTACTCCTCTTAGAAGGACACTAGTCATATTGGATTAGGGTCCATTTACATGACCTCGTTTCACCTTAATTACGTCTTTTAAGTCCTTATCTCCAAATGCAGCCAGATTTGGAGGAACTAGGGGTTAGGAGTTAAACACATGAATTTGGGGGAGACACAATTCAGCCCATAACCAAAGTAAAACATTTAGGAGTGGTTATTACCTGATATGATCTGGCGTCGTTCCGCAGCACCCTCCAACGATATTGACCAAGCCATTCACGGCGAAGTCCTGCATGGAGGAAAAAAGGTTTCACGAAGTTCATCGGAATTCTAAACTCACCACGACCAATTCAGAAAAGAGGCCTACATCTCCTGAATAACTAATTTTACATTAAAAAGAGAGCTAAACACACTGAACTCTAGATACAAAGCTTTTCATGCCCTAGGTGTATGGTGAAAAGCAGAGAACAGCTCAGAACTGAGAGTATGAAATCCTTTATACCATTTAAAATGCGATGAAATATTTCTTTGCTTAACTGAGCGTAATAAAGATTTTTGCCCATACGCTGAGCTCTAGGAATGTGAGCTGGATAATGCATTCTCAAAGAATAGCTCAAGTTTTAAAATTTAACTAAAAAGTCTAAAGAATTAAACATTCGATTCCTCAGTCACAACGGCCCCATTTCAGTTGCTCCAGTAACCCATGTGGTCGTGACTACATACTGGACAGTGGGGGGTCCAGAGTTTCACCACAGGCTAGTCTGGAGGTCAAGACAGCTGAGAGGAAGTCAAAGAACTGAGAAGTCCCAACACTGAAAAGAGCATCTACGTAAGGAATTAAAATCCTAAGAATTAAGTCAGAAATAGTTTAGGAGAGGATGTCAGTGAGCCAGAAGCTACAAATTCAAGGAATGAGGAGAAGACACCCAGGGGTTAGTCATAAGGAAGGGTAGTGGGTAGTGTGGGCGCATGACCTGGGGTTCCAAAACGAGAGGTACTTATGAAAGGAGAATGGGGGCGGTGACAATGAGAAGCAGGGAGTTCGGGGCTGGGGGACACCACGTGGAAGGGCTGCAGGACAGCCAAGTTTCAATTAGTTTGGGTTGGACCTCACTGGGAATTTCCCAACAGCCACCAGTACCAACCGGGGAGAAGGATGCTGACAGCTAACCCCTCCCTCTACCTCCACCATCTTAAGTCAGAGTAGCTAAGCTTTTATTTGGTCTATATACACTGGAATTTATTTAGGAAAAAAATTTTGCTTCTAAATATTCTAAAGCTAAAATTTCATTTCTGTCTCTTAAGAACCAAGTGAAAGAGGATTCTTGACCTTTAAATGCATGGCCATCATGTGTGGAGTCTCATCATAGTCACCGAAGGTATTGGGAAGACCTAAGGAAGTATATTTCAGCCATTATTGGAAATTACCTTAACAAACAGACATAGTATTTGTAAAGGCTTTAGTTTAAAAAGTTAGAAATTTTTATATTTATAATTAAATGGTCTATTATAATTAAATACTTGCAAAAACATAGTGAATACAGAGCCAGCACACCAAAAAAAAAAAATTATAAAGGAATATAAACATCCACTATTTCTTTTCCATTTGAAAGAAAACTGTATGGGACTGAGCCCCCCACCCCTATCCACTACCCAGTTGCTTGGGATGGGGTTGGGAGAGCATTACACCCTTCAAACTAATGAGCACCTGACATGCAATTAAAAACACAAAACACAACCACTCTCCTTGCCAAAAAATTTTCCCAAGTAAGACTTTAGCATCTAATTATCCAATTTCCTGTTTTATTTCTTATCCCCTTCCAGTTATCTTGCTCCTGGTGGGAAATAAAATTTATTGTGCATTAAAATGTATATATTTGGAGAAAGAATGCTGGAAAATGATTTTTAGCCCGAAGTAGCTAAGCTGTGCTCAAAAACGTTCACCAGGAAATATGGTTAACCCAGAAAGGATTACCAATATTTAATCAGATAGTTTGAGAAGTATCTCTCTTGGTCATTTCTATATATAGTAAACTAGAAGTTCTAACTTTTAGAAGGAAAAAGGTAACATCTGCTCTTTCGTGAACACAGTGGAGTGGAGAAAAGGGCTCCCTCTCATCCCGTTCTCTACACTTGTCTCTTTGGCCACGTCCGCATGGCAAGCACGTCTGCTCAGTTATCTGAAACGGCTTCCTTCCCTGAAGTTTTGTGCAATTTTGAAGATTTCAGGCTGAACCAAACTGTTCCTTCAAGTCTAGAGGAAAACAGTGGTCTAGAGTCTAGACCCAAATATTCTCCATTTGGAAAATTCCTACTGAGTGTTAATTATATACCAAGGCCTGCAAAACAAACTATTTAATCAAGATCTATTACCCTATCCACCATGTCTCGTGTATTTGGATTCCCCACGTGCGGCCCCCTTGAAACACACACCTGCATTGGGATAACAGAGGACATAGGCTGTCGTACATTTTCCAATTATTTCAATGAAAGGTCTCATTTCAGCTGCACCCAGAGCACAATTTAATCCAATGCTGAAAAAAACAAAAGAAGATATTAGAAGCATCCTCTTTTATTCAAAATATTTACACATATGAAAAGTTTTAATAAAGAAAGGAATATCTCTAAAACCAAGGAGATAATAAGTCTCCTGATTCAAAGCCCCATCATGAAGTCACAGTTAAAGCCATCCACTCAAGGTCCAGCAGCACTGAATACTATGTCCCTGTCCTCGTCTCCAAGGTCAGATGACAACCTTATGGCTGAAGGACTATGCCTGTGGATGTGACGCCTTAAATAATTTCACAGTTTGATTAATGTAGCCTGTGAAACAGAAATGACTACAAACCACCACTGCTAACAAATATGATTTGAAAGCAATACTTACGAAGAATAAAAAGGAAAATCTTGGAGGTAGAAGAGCACTAATGGCATGTGAAAGCCTATGGGAGGTTTGACAACCAAGGCTTAGTACTTGCTCTGTAACTGACTAGCAAGGTGACCCAGGACTTAGAATTTGTCCTTTTATAAATGAAGCTGGCTTCTTTATAACACCAAGCAGCTCTCTGTTTTGCAGATGAAACTTACTGGGGACTCAAGTAAAGCCGTTCAAAGCAGAGCTGCTACACTGGAAGTAAGCGTGGAGGTCCTAAAACCCTTCCAAAACCAGTCTCAGGGGTGGGGGACCCCTGAGACCTTCGGGAAATCAGGAATTAACTATGAAGCTACTGAACTACGTCATCTTTTCTATTTTACTTTTTTCCTTTTACTAGGATTCCTAAGTGCAATGTGGTGGGAAAGAGAGAAAGAAAATGAAAGAAGGAATATTCAAAATGTTTCAGGGAAGACAAAAAAAGTTTTTTAATAAACTAAAGTTTTCCTTCAGATACCCCTGCACTGTCCTAGCTTTAGTTTTTCTGTTAAACGTTTATTGCATCCATACTGTGTGCCAAGGACTCTATTAAGCACTAGAGAAATACAGATGACTAAGAGATTGCTCTAGAAAAGCTCATAAGCTAGTGAGGAGCTAATCAGAACCCAGTTCAATACAGTTATTTTCTTATTTATCAGGCACGATCACTAGGGTAACAATGTATTCTATATTACAGCAGCTTTTTCGAAATCACACTAACACATTAAATCAACTATAAGACCCGCCCTGAAATTAGAAATATTAAACTATGAAAAAAAGAACATCACATAACTGATAAAATGTGGGAAAAGCCTGCCCTGTCCCTCGATCCACTATTTACTTAATCTTGGACAAGGGACAACCTCTGAGTCTCAGGTTCCCTTCTCGCTGAAAGGAAGACAAAACAGCAGTGCCTACCCCAAGGTGTTGTTGCCAGAATTAAAAGAAATAACTCTCATAAAGCTCTTAGAGACGAGCCTGGCACACAGCAAACGCTCCATAAATGTCTATTACTATTACTTTTATGGCACAGGCTATAATAAAAGTAAACAGAGTGCTCTGAGAGGAGCATCAAGCTGGGATGGTGAGAGAGGCCAGGCTCCCTGAAGAGCACGCTGCAGATGAGTCCTGAAGGCTAACAAGGAGCCAGCACAGTGCGCACGCGCGCGCGCGTGTGTGTTGGGGGGCGGAGCAGTCACAGCTTCCAGGCAGAAGGAATAAATAGCACGTTTATGGAGAAGGCAGAGGAGAAAAATAGTACATGCTCTCGGAGCTTCTATTTCACTCGTAATAAGTAATTTCAACCATTTTGATAAGAAAAAATAGATATTTTACTATAGGAAAGCCATGTTAATTTCAAAGATAAAAATCTAAGCTTTAGAATCCCCGTCTTATTCCAAGCCAGACTGTTTCCGATTGCTCCATAAATAAGGAGTGAAAAACTCTGCAAAGCACTGCCCTAAAAATGTTAAGTGCTGATAATAGTTTTAAAGCATTGTCACTGAACCAACAGGCACAGCCTTTAACTATAAGGAGACACTTACAGATAACAGAGCAGCCACTTGGCTGGCCCAGGAGGTCTGAGAGCTCTCCCTCCCAGTCCCCGGAACTGCCCCACTTAGGCAGTAGACTTCCGCCCCCTTTAGGGAACAGTCTGAACGTACTTCCAGGAAAGCCAACATTCCATGCAGGTGCGACAGCGGAAATAAGCAGAAGCTACCCTCTCCGGTCATCTTCTGTGGCCATCAGAGAAGATCCCCAAAACGGATGGAGTCGAGGATAGAATGGTCACTCACCAGAGGGGGTCTGCATGAGACACACTGATGACAAACGCCTCTCCTGTCTGTCCAGAAAGTGTCCGTCCACTTTTATCCACAATTGTCCCTGAAATCTGAATTAACAAAGGAAACTCAGTCAACAATATACGACATAGATTTGAATTCAGAGTTTAGTCACCAAGACAAAATAAAACAAGCAAGCTCACTTTCTGTGCTCTTTTATGGGAAAGAGAACTGTGGAACTCAAACTCAAAGCAATGCTTTCTACACTGGTCAGAACAGACAAATGCCAAGAGGGGCGGGGGAGCTGGTGAGCCCTGGAAACAAGGAAGAGGGAAAAGAAAGCCACTGAGGCAAAAGTAGTGACCAAAGCAGCTTCAGAATCACACACCCACTGCCACTGGAGAAGGCGTTCCCACAGAACCTCAGGTTAGCCTCGCCTCCTGCTGTTAAACAGCTGCTTCGTCTAGCAGCCCTTGTTTTGATTCTATTCCATGCTCGCCAAGCAATCTAAGGACTCTGTGTGGGTCTGCCTACTGAGTTAATAAACTGGCATTTTGGAATCTTCAGTACCAGGTGCTCCACAGTCAGCATGCAAGGCCACCCGCTCTGGGCCCTAAGGAGAGAGTCCCTAGGCCTCTGGCTTCAGTAGGCCAGTTTAGCCAGGCCACTGTGCCTTTCACTGACCACTTCTAGATTCGTTTTCTTCACATTTCCAGAGGTAAGACTGTTACTGGTGTAGAGGTGGTGGTAGGAGGGTGGTGAACACAGCAGTTCAAGTAGGTAGTTCCCAAAAGATACTACCAATAGTTCTACTATGCAAGGAAAAAAAAACCCTACCACCAAAATGACAATATTCATAAAAAACAAAAATAAACATTTTAGAACTTACAAAGATAGGCCGGGGAGCATATTTCTCTTCAAAAAGGTTTTGGAGTGCAAACAAGGCTGCCTGTCGGGGAAAAAAAAGAAGGACATCTTTATTTCTGAGAGACTGGCAAAGTGAGTCTGAACAGCTAATGAGAATGCTCAACTTTCTAAGGCTTCTTCGGATAAGATACACATCGCATTCTCTGGGGAGAAGACACACGTCCTCATACAATGCACAACTCAGTCACCCTGTCTCAAGTATCACAGTGTACACACCAAAAATAAATGCCAGAAGTTCACCTGTGAACCAGTATTTCCTCTGAGGAGGAGCTGAAGAACTACTCTTTCTTCCTTCTCTCAATCAAAATTAAAAATAGGTAAGAACGCCTCTGCCTTCCACACCCTCATATATCACAGTAAGTATATAACCAACAGTGTGTGTCATGGCAAAACAGAGCGTGAGCTCATGTTACTCATGTACTGTCCATGTTTTGTTAAATTCTAAGCAACACAGCTTCTGTTTCTTTTTATCATTATGTTCCTAAGATGTGCATATTTTCATAATTTATTTTCTGAAATCAGAATGTAACCTGTAATTAATATGCACCTTCATTGTGATGGGCTTTTTTTCCATGGAAAAATATCAGAATTTCTCTTTTTAGAACTACACAAATTGATCCTAAAGATCTTACAGAAAATAAAGAAAATGTAAACAATAGCCAGGAAAGTTCTGGGAAAAAAGGGGGGGGAGTTAAATGAAAAGCCTACCAGTCACTCAGACATACTGTAATCACAATGCTATGGTAAATAAGAGGACAGCACTGTGACATCAACAGACAGATTACTGGAACAGGTTAGACCCAAATGTACTCCTTAATTAAGGGTGCATGGGCGACAGTCCACATGATTCCTATCATTGGAAAATAACAGAATGTTTAACACATGGTGTTAGGAAAACTAGGTAACCTTAGGGGAAAAAAGCAGTTAGATCTTTACCCTATTCCTCACTCCAAAATGAATTCCAGAAGCATAATGAGGGAAACCAGTCCCTTTATAATCAAAACAATGTTATGTCACACATTCTACAACCTAAAAACTGAACTAACAAAATAGATCCTTAATGCTTTATCCCATGTTATTACACCCCACACCCGTATTTCTAATCTAAACAATACTATGACTCTTTTCAAATGTGTATCTGGGTCTCATTTCAGATATATTCCTTATTATGTTTGGTATTGCTCTTATTTCAAAATGCATACCTGAGTTGCTTTTCAAATTATTAGCTGTTTACTGGAGAGTCACAAGACAATTTTAGAAAGGTGGATAAAAGACAGCCATATAAGTGATATGCTAAAAATGAGGCAGGATAGTTATCTGGCTTCTGGCTGGTAGTCACTCCCCTCATTCTTCATGTATTTTAGTAAAAAAAAAAAGTTTCAAAAATTCTGAATCTGTGGTCTTATTTCCACAACATTTAAACAATTAAAGGTTTGATGAAATTGTACTGGAGTAAAAAGAGACCACTTTTCTCCTTATCTTGGAATGAATGGGGAGTGCCCTTGCAAATATAATTCCCTCCCTGCCAAAACACAAACAGAATCCATAAATCCAACCATACAAAATTGTAATTTTCTTGCACCATTGAAAAACAAAAACATAACACAAAAAGCACCACAACTATATCACCATCACCACCAAATATAAAGTCAAAAGTCAAACAACAAACTGGAGACAATATTTGCTACTCATCATTGACAAAGGTCTGATTTCCTTAGGGAAAGATGAAATTAAAAAGAGCAAAACTCCAGTAGAAAAAAGGCACAGGACACAAATCACAGGAGAGGAAATATAAATGGTTGTAAAACTAAAAAAAGATGCTCGATTTCATTGATAGTCAGAAAAATACAAGTGAAAACTACAGCAAGGTAGCATTTTTCACCTATTATATTGGAAAAGATTAAAACATTTAACAATAGATGGTGTTTGAGAGGATGTGGTAAAACCAGCATTGCTTGTGGACTGGGGTTTAAATGAGGACATCTCCAAGGAGGGTCATTTGACACTAAAGATCAAAATTAACAATGCAGTAACGCTTTGGCCCAGCAATGTCACTTATAAAAATTTATCCGCTAGCTACACTGTGCAACAACATATGTGCGAGGATATTTATTTTTTGCTCCATACACTCATGTACCTGTGTACATATGTAAGGAATACAAACGCATGCATATACATGCTGCTATCTGCACAGAATCCCTACCAGGACCCCACACGGTAATGTAGTGGCCCCAGGGAATAGGAGATGGAAGGATATTACTTTTTATTCCACACATTTATGTCTCTTTTGAATTCAGAACCATGTGTTTGTATTTATTGCCTAGGCATATATGCACGTATAGTAGCTATATGTGAAAACATATACTTTCACAGTATTTAAAAATTTTTGTAAAGTTAAAAAGATAAGCTTTAGAAGCTTTTCTCATTCTACTGGCCTCAATTAAAAACAGTCAATAGTAAAATGGAATAGAGGAATTTCATTTAACTTTGATAATGACCATTATTGTCTCCTCACTATATTAGGGGAGTCATCACAGCCACCCTCCCGGCCTCCACCGCAGCCCTTTCCCATTTTCCTCCCTAACTCACCTTGGCATTGGCGGTATCGAAAATCGTTTCAACGAGTAAGATGTCAACGCCACCATCCAGAAGTCCTTTGGCCTGCTCTTCGTACGCTTCAACGAGTTCATCAAATGCTGCAAAAAATGACCCACACCCAGGATGTCAGTCATCAGTCTCCTCGGAATGGCCTGAGTTCAGGCCTGGCACCTGAGCACTGACTATCGCTGCTTTCTAATGCACAATTTTAAGGACAACACAAGCTTTTGTAAGAAACCAAATACAAAAACATGGCGGTGACAGAAGTCAAACCAGTAAACCCAACACAGTTGCTCCTAAACCCTTGCACATGGCCCTTGTGTGAGCCGAGAAGGAGAGCGCGAGTGGGAAGCTGTGCACTGTCCTGAGCCCTGTACCGCACTTTCAAGATCTTTAAAACAAATCGTTCTTTTCAGAGACAGTTTTAATCAATCCACTAAGGGAGAGTGTGAGAAGTAACTGCAGAAATATGTCATACTGATCTGGTCCGGTAACGAGTCACATTCTCTCCCTCTCTGTGCTAAAAGGCTGCAGTCGTGTGGATTGGGCTCCTGCCGTCTGATACCAACTCTGTTGGAGAGGAAACCTGCCTGGTGGGTGATTTCAGTCTCACACACAAATGTTCAAACATTCCTAGGTAAAATCATTGTTAGAAACGTCTTGAGTCGTCTATTTCCATCTGAGAGATCATCCCTCTCCCTGTTTTACTTCCCAACCAGAAGAGAAAAAAATGCCCCGATATTCAGCAGAGAAGCCTAAACAGCACATTTGTGCTTGCCGCGTAAGTCTGCGTCATCTTATACAGAAGGAGACAGAGGACACATTACTCCTCGCTGTCATGCCTAGACCAAAGGCAACTGGACGAGCAACCCTGGTGACAAAGTGTGGAATCGCCTGTGGAAAGTTCTGTGACAAAAAACCCAAAAACCACACTTGCCTGAACTTGTCAGCTACACAAAATTCACTACCATACATGGTAGCATTACTATTCAGCTCTGACAGTTCAATTCTGCTGGTTTTTTATAGTCTGATGTTTAAGAAATTGACCTAGATTTCTAGATTTTTCATAAAATCTCAATGTAAGTACGGTTATATATGCTAGTTTACAATGTTTATAATGCTAGTATGTTTATATATTTGGGCTACTTTCTAATAAATAAAATAGTCTAGTGGGTTACTCTATAATAGACCAAGGCCTGAAATCCATAATTTCTCAACTTCTCCGTTTAAAGCTTTATTTTGATTGGTTTTATCTCTACAGCTGATCTAGAAGCACTAACACAATACCACATATATTTGAAAGCGAGCTCAAAAAATAATATCAATAATAACAACAGCTAATTTTTTAGTTAGAAGTCTTCTATACTTCAGAGACTTCTGTGAGCCCTTTACGTGGATTAAGTCACAAATAGCCCTAAGGTAGATCCTGGTATTGGTCCCATTATACAGATTTAGAGATTACTAAAACACAGAATGATTTGCCCCAAATGATTAGATGCGATAAATACTCACTGATGTTCCTGTAATCTGGTCTTTCCACAGACGGGGATACAGAGAGGGTCTTATTAGTTGGACCCAGGGCTCCTGCCACAAACCTCTTAATTCCTTTGGGAAATAAAAACAAGTGTGAAATTTCAGGACAGCTCAACATTTTTGTTGTAAATCAATAAGGTATGATATTTCCCTATAATACATGTGTATAATCCTCTGTCCAAAGCTCTGAAATACAAGAAGCGCAAAAGCCCTAATTTTTTTAACTTATTTGACAACAAAACTTGATCTCTCCTAAACCAACAAAAGTCTACTTATAGTTTTTATCCCACTTAGTGGGATGGTTCATAGATTTTACTGCAAATACATGTTTGACTATGGCATCTGTCCCACATCCCACTGGAAAATTATGAAATATAGGGGATGTGCACATATTATCACCAAGCCAATCCAAAAACTCTGAATTCTCACAGAACTGGCTTCGAAGCCTTTCAGTAAGCAATCCTTTTCTATCACCACAGCTATGATTGGACACATTCTCTCTCTCGTATTCTTGAAGGTCCTAAACTTAACATAGGTTCTGCAAAAGCTCCTCTCAGTAACATTTGACTTAAAATGCCCTCCAGTATTGTATCGCAGGCCCTTTAATTGGAGGGAAATATTAAATCAGGATTAACAATTATACAGCCTGAAACTAAAGTATGAGGCAGATTAATTCTTACTACAATAACTCTTAATAATTCTTTAATAACCTTTCCTCCAGGCAAGAGTCTTGGAGCCTGAGAAGTTGTGCTCATTTACAGATGCTAACAGCAGCCAGGTCTATACTGCTCATTACCTCTGGTGATTTTGACCACTCAGCAACCTGGTTACACATTACAATTTAACTGGAGAAGACTACCAACTAATTGACTACCAAGCCTGTGAACAGGTTACAGGCCCAAATATTCCTTATCTTCTCCAAAGCTGAACAATCATGTGGAAATAAGAAAAAAGTCCTTATCTCTTCCTGCTTTAGCTGGTTGAACATTCTCTGGCCTGCAACTCTGTTGGGATAATAGTCTACACATTTCCATGGATTTAAACATTATCTCTAAGAAACAGAGTTCCTATAAATTGCTGTCTTCATTTCTATACTGTGACTAAGATCCTAACAATCTTTACATCTTTCCTGTTGGCAATAATTTCACATTTCCAAATCATACGGGGCTCCATATACTTCTATTCCTTTCTCTCCTTCAAAGCTGGTACTCAGGTGTTCTCACAGCAGCCAGCCAGGTGGTTAGGTATTTCAGGGAGCACTTTTCAAGTTCCTGTAAAGCTGAATCTAGTGTCACACTTTGTGTGCTACACAGAGCCTTCTAGGACATTAGTGGTATGAGGTGGAGAATGGTCCAAAGACAGTATCTTCTTACCTAGATAAGCCAGTCACAAGGATGAGGGTAGCTTTAAAGGGATAGATCAAATATCTTAATGATAACCAAAATGACCCAAACAGTCAGCTGCTGCCTTAATCACCTGATGGTATGCTTCCAAAGGTAGAAAATGATTTCAGATGTAAATATACAAGGGAGCCATGGTCTTTGCTACAAAGTTAGGATATAACCCGAAGCAGAGTAAACTCAGAATAAGCTTGGGCCCAAGGCCCATGGGGACAGTCAATTCAGAGACACTGAATGCTTGACTGTGAAATTGCAGAGGAGCAACCTACAAACAAGTACAACACGGTGTCTGCTAGGTTGCTAGTCTGCAAGGTTGCTGTCATGAAAGGGAAAAGTGGACAACATATAAAATTCCAGCTGCCAATGTCAAAGGAAGCATCTGTGTGAGAAAGGGAGAAAAACGTTCCTTACCTGTCTGGAGGGTTATCTCCTCGGCTGCTTTCCTGGCCACTCCCGCAGAGCACTTGTTCATCCGGTAAGCCTAACACAGAACTGTAAATGTTAGCTTGTCTTTCTTTTCCTCCACACGTTAAATAAGGAAGCCTAGTTTTATTCCGAATGGAAATGTAGAGTGGGTTAATTTGAGGTCTGAATGTAATCTTGGCCAAGAAGGCCAATCGGCTGTCTCAGCCTTGAAGACAACAGGAAAGGCAAGTCTTTGGGAACCGCTTTTAGGTTCTTCCCCAAAACCATGAGCTAGGTGACCAAAAAAAAAAAATCCCTGGACATCTGGCATGTCAGAAAATAAGATGATGCAGTTCAATATTCTGAGAATTAGAAAAAAGTACAGTAATGGTAAAAGCACAGGCGTCAAAAACAGGAGGCCTGGGCTCTAGGACCAGCTCTGTCACAGCCAGCTTGGACAGTACCCTCGGCAACTTCCCAGGGTCCTGACTTCCTTCACCAAACAATGGTTGTAATAGATGGTTCTGAACTTTCTGTAGATCATTAACCTCGAAATTTGGTAAAGGTCCATGAACCCTCTCACTAGGAAATAAAAGCAGGTATGCACGAACATACAAGGTATTGCCTACAATTTAAAGGGGTTCAAAGGCCTCCTGAAGCCCTTCCACAGGCCAGATTAGGGGGTCTTGGGCTTGTGATCAAGATCCCATCTAATTCTGAGGCCCTCTGTGCCTTGGACCCTCAAATCGAATAATTAAGAAACCAGAATATCTTAAAATGGGGGGTTATCAAACTCTGGCTCCCAGGGCAAATCTAGCCTGCTGCCTATTTTGTAAAAAAAGTTTTATTGGAAACCAGTCGAGCCCATTGTTCACATATTTTCTATAACTGCTTTTGCACTACAATGAAAGAGCTGAGTGATTTCAACAAAGACTGCATATATGTAGCCAACAAAGCCTAAAATATTTACCACCTGGGCCTTTACAGAAAAAGTTTGCCATCTCCTACCCTACAACACAAATTCATTTTCTTTTGAAATCCAACAGACATATGCTCTCAGAAAGCCCCAAATATCATGAGATCATGAGAGAAGTCAGTGTCAGAGCACTCGGGACTACCTGCATGAAAACAAGAGGCAAGTGTCTAGAAAAGTTTCACATAGAAATGGGGACCTCGGTAGACTGGAATACATCTACCACGTATTCCCATCATCCATCATTAATATTTTATAAAATTTGAATACAGAAGCATCATGTTGATTAAAAATAAACCAAATCTTCCACCGCACACCCCCTAGATGGCTACTATCCAAAAAAAAAAAAAACACCAGAATATAACAAATGTTGGCAAAAATATGGAAAAATTGGAACCCTTGTGCACTGTTGGTGGGAATATTATACGGTGCAGCCACTATGGAAAACAGTGGTTTCTCAAAAAATTGAACATGGAATTACCATATGATCTAGCAATTCCACTTCTGGGTACATACTCAAAGAAAATAAAAGAAGGCACTCAAACAGATAGATAACTGTACATTCATGTTCTCAGCAGCACTGTTCACAATAGCCAAAGGATACAAGCAACCCAAGTGTCCACTGATGGAAGAATGAATAAAATGTGGTCTATCCATATAACGAAATATTATTTAGCCTTTAAAACAAATTCTGACACACGCAACAATATAAGGAAACTTTGAGGATGTTAAGTGAAATAAGCCAGTCACAAAAGGGCACATACATTAGGATTACACATATATGAGGTTCTAGAATAGTCAAATTCAGAGAGACAGGAAGTGGAATGGTGGGTGTCAGGGTCTGGAGGAGAGGGGGATGGGGCATTGTTTAGTGGGGAGGGTTTCAGCTTTGCATGATAAAAAGAGTTCTGTGGATAAATACCACCTAGTAGATGGTAATAATGGTAGCATAACAATGTGAACATGCTTAATGCCAGTAAAATGAAAAATGGTTAGGATGGTAAATTTTGTGTTATATGTATTTTGCCACAATTTTTAAAAAAAGGAAATCAAATCTGTTCTCCAATACTTAAAAAGGGCCTCCCAAAACTGTGCACACAGCCAATCATTATGCCATCATCAACAGTCACTGCATAATAAGCATCATTTTTATTTGATTATTAATTGCCCATAAAGAAGCCTGGTGGAAAATGAATGGGCTGCTATGTTTATAAGCAGAAGGGATTCAAACCTGTCTGACTTCCCTGTATGCGCACAAGCAACAGATAACCAGGCATTACCTTCGGGTGGTTTCCCCACTTGCAGCTACCGATGTGGCAAAAGCTCACAAACATCTTTGATTCTGACGACAACAGAATTCTTACCAAGTGTTCCAGGCCATAGTCCGCTTGGGCAACATGAGTGCTGCTGAAAGTGTTTGTTTCAATGATATCCGCCCCAGCCAGCAGGTAATCCTACAACAAGACAGTAATGTCAGTGCTGAATTTCAGAATCCCTGTCCCCCAACAGTAAACATGCCTTTTCATCATCATCACCACCAAACACCTTCTGGCTACTTACTAAGTGTAATACAACACTGCACTAGGGGCTAGATGCAAAGGAGGTAAGGATTTCATAGAAAGGCATGTATTGTAAATAAACACAGAATTTGATCAAAGTCCACACACTAAGTTGTGAATTGAGTCAAGTTCCTTAAACTCTCTGATAGCCAGGTACCCCTTACTGTATTTAGTCATTTTTGCTTCAAGAGAACCTTATTATTCTGTCCAGATGTCCACCTAATACACAGGACGAGAACTCATTCCTTCAACAAATACTTACTGAGCATTTACTGTGTGTGAGATACTGTTGTAGGCAGTAGCGATTCAGGAGTGAAAAACAGGCATAAATTCCTGCCCTTGGGAACTTATACCACATGAACAACGACAAAGCCATATGGCATGATAGCCATACGGCAAGATGGTCTCACCAACTACGTTATAAAAACTGATTTTTGTAACTACCCCAAGCAATTCATCACATGATGATATTCCCAATCTCAACACACTGGCATTTCATAATGAGACTTGACTACATATTCTGAAGGCCGAGCAAAAAAACCGAGGTACCATTCTTTCTGCAGAATCAAGCCTCTTCAAAGACCAATTTCAAATTTTCCGGTACCTACAATTCCCATTATTACCAAAGTAAAGACATTCCTAGTTTCTCTTCAAATGAAAACCATCCTGCACCTTTTCTAGAACACTCAGTAGAACGATCACTTCCACACTCAATGAATCACTTAATCACTGAGTGATTTGTTTAGGTAATTGTTTTTCCTTAAGAAGAGTCTGAAACTTCTATACCAATGCCCATCTTCAGAACATAAAACTCTCTCACTTACTGGTAAATAAGCTTTGTCCTAATTGAATCCAGACCAGGGAAATAGATTAAATCACCTTATTATCTCATCTCGTCATAATTCTACAAAATTCCTAGGATCATCTATAAAACAATTTAGTTCTGTTTATTTTTAAATTTTAGAAGTCTAGCAATACCCAGTTACTTGCTTCTGATCTCTTTATGTTGGCTAGCCATTTTTATTGGAGACAGAAAAGCAGAATGAAAGACCATGGGATTTCAGGCCAGTAAACCTCTGTCCCATCAGCCAAGCTATTTAACCTCTATGATCCTCAGTTTCCAAATCTACAAAATGAGAATAATAACTGCCTTTCGTTTTATTTCATCAAGGCTATTGTGGCAACTTAAGTAACACACTGTACATGAAAACCCTAATTTGTCCAGGATTTTGTGGGTTTTCACTGGAGTTTAAACACCTCAAAGGCAGAAAACCTCTCTTGCTCATCTCCTTCCCCTGAATGCTCAACATAGTGCATGACTTTTATTTGATGTCCAAAGCCTGCTTTCTGAAAAAAATCACCTCTTTCTTCTGTACCCTCCAGAGCACTCAGCAACGAGTCCTGCCCTCAGTACATGAAACAGCCTAGAGAACGACAGACTGAAAACATAAGCACCCAGGGACACTTTACCTTGTGGATTTGGTAAATGACATCGGGCTGAGTTATACTGAGGATGTCATTGTTGCCTTTCAGTGGCCTGGGATGATCTTTAAATTCTTGACCTCGGAAGTCTTCTTCACTCAGCTGGTACCGCTGGACCATGGTCCCCATCCCTCCATCCAGCACCATGATCCTCTCCCGAAGAATGGCTCCAATCCCATCCTGCAGGGTTTTCTTCATGCCTGTTTTAAAGAAGGTGAAAAATCTGACTTTAAAAAATGAAAGGGGAAAAAGATCGGTGGAGAATGAGTTTAGAGTAATTTATAATGATTCACAATAGGGAGTAAGTAGGGCTCATAAAAGAGGTACTCACAGCTCCACAACTTTAGAAAAACGCTGCCCAAAAAGGTTTTCATTAAGTTGTAACAATGCCTAATAGAATAACAGATTGCACACAGCACAAAATCACTGGTGAAGCACCCAAGCAAAGTTAAAGCAGGTTGCGGCTACTCCTGTTTCAGACATGAGGAAAACAAGCAGCAATGAATCAAGTGATACAAGGCCAGGCCAGGCTGCGGAAGCAAGTCTTCAGAGCTGTCTCTCTCTGTTAATGCTGTGCACATAGGGAGATTTAACATGGAAAACTGCAAATCATCACTAATTCCAAACTCCATTTAAATTGTTAACTCTGAGATTCTCCCCCATCTACTGCCAAAACTAATAGCCTATACGTAGGGTTTTGCTCACCTCTGCTAATGGTGACAGGTTGAGAAAAACCAAGAAATCTGAGTTTAGTCCCAGTTCCCACATGTAGTTGTGGAGCTTTGGAAAATCCTTTGTGTTTATGCAAAACAAGGAAATATCAGTCCTGTCTTTGTTATAGGAATTCTGATAATAAAATGAGACGATGCGTTACCATACAACACCCCGCCCCCATATATTCAAATTCTGAGATCTTGTTAAAGAGTTATCATATATGCAAGACATCAAAGACTTTTTAAAACTCTAAACATCTGATTTTTATAAGAAATTTAACAAACTTATTCTATAATTTATGTGGAAGACTAACAGCCCAGAAAGAGCTAAATTAACTTGAAAAAGCAGTAAGGGGTTACGTGGCCCACCAAATATTACAATATATGACAAACCCATATCGTAAAATAAGGAAAAGTAAAATACAAAATATCTACATTACTTAGACTAGGGAAAGACTTCTTAAGACTCAAAAAGCCCAACCTATAATGTTAAAATAAAAAAGATGAATTTGATTGCAAAAAAACTAAGAACATCTGTTAAACGAAACTCACTACAAACAAAAGTAATAAACAGATTATGGACTAGAGGAAGATTTTGCAATGTCTAAAACTAAAAGGAGGACTAACATGTATAATGTACAAGGAACTCCTACAAATCAATAAGAAATTAAATAGGATAATGAGCAAAAGATAAGACAAGTCAAGGGAGGGGAAAATAATAGCCAAGAAGTACTGTATTTTCCCATGTATAAGACACCCCCATGTATAAGACGCACCTTAATTTTGGGGCCCGAAATTTGAAAAAAAATTTATTACATAAAGTTATTGAACTCAAGTTTTACTCATCATAAAATTCATACAACTCCTCATTGCGGGAAATGCAAGTAAAAAATCTACAACCACTGTACAAGACGCACCCAGTTTTTAGACCCCAAATTTTTCAAAAATCTTATACATGGGGAAATACAGTATATGAAGAGATACTCAAACTCATTAGCTATCAGAGATGTGAATTGAAACAAGATGATACCAATTAACATCCAACAGATAGGTAATAATTAGAAGGCTGGATAATGCCAAAGAAAACCTGAACCCTCCAGGATGCCTGTTGGAACATAGACAAGACAGAGCCATTGTGGAGAGCAGCCTAGCAGGACTTAGTAAAACTAAGCATGCGGGAAACCCAGCAATCTCACTCCTGGGTATATTACCCAGTCTCATATAGACCCACAGAGAACACATGAGGATGTTTGTAGAAATGGCAAGTTGGAGACAAGCTTGGGACATGGCAAAGTCAAATGTGGTGGATGGTCATGTGGAATACTACGCAGTGGTAACCAGACAGACCTGTAGTATAAGGCTGGAATAGCAACTGAAAAAGTCAGAAACGGTTAACTACCATGATACTATTGGGTTGTCAGAAAAGTCATGACGTATTTTTTTCTGTTTTTCATTGCAAAAAATGCATCATGACTTTTCCAGCAACCCAGTATTTACATAAATTAATATGCATATACACAGATTAAAGTACAAAGAAACATACAAATAGATGGAAATATTTGAAACAAGCTCCTTATGAAAGTAACATAATTGTGAATAAAAAAATACATAAAACAAATACGAATGGGAATTGCATGGGCTGAATACAGAACTCCTCTGCAATTGAGTTCCTTAAAAATCCATTACTTCTAAATGATCCACATGTTTACTTATCCTTTAGGGGATAACAAAAGATTTCCCTTTTAGAGAAACTAAAAAGATCTTCTTCCAGATTTGCTGGCTTATATTAAGTTAAATATTCACTGTTCTTAGCCTCAGGTAATTCCCCAAGCTTTTCCAGTAGGGGATTACCTTTCACTGGCTTCTAATTACCGTGACCCTTCCAGAACCTTCTCATAAGAGTAAGTCACCATAACAATTCTTTCCCTTGGCAGGGTGAGCATTCTTTGAAATGTTTCTCTTCCATGAAGAACCACCGCCACTAAAACACCCTATTCATCTGTATTCAGTTCATTAGGTCTAGAATACTACGTACATTTTACTCCTGACTAGTTAGTCCTGTTCTCAACAGAGCAGATTCCCCCGAAAACCTTTCACAGTGAATACAGAAATCTATAGTTTTGCAGTTCCCCCATTCATATGAAAGGGAAACTGCCTATTTCCTTTTTTAAAATTAAATGGGGAGGGGAAGGCCTAAAGTCCTGAGTGAAAGATATTCAAATAACTACACAAGAGGGATAGGTCTTATTTTATAACAACAATAAGGAAACGTCTCCCAGTCATATTCCCACTAGTTTCAAGAACAACTGTACCAGATCCATTTATGAGAACCCTAGAATCAACAGTGTTACTAGGTCACCTCTGATGAATCTCCTTCTGCGTTATCAGGAACTGAGTATTCACCCTCCTCCCGGAGCGGAACACCCTCTTTCTGTCAGAGCAGCTACTGTTCTGTCCTTATTTTCTTGTTGGTACATTGACTACGCCATATCTCCCTTTTTTATGAGTGTATTTCTGTACAGATTATAACCAGGATGAACGTAAGAGACCCAGAACTCATGGCAAAGCTGAAATCATTGTCAGTTCTTGTACTAAACTAGTTTTTTCTCACTGTTGACCCCAGAGGCACCAAAATCGGAATCACTTGCGGTCTCTACTCCCAATCCCAATCTACTGGGCATCTGCTCATGTTTTAATACAGTGATTCTACACACCCTGGAGTTTGCAGAATGACTGTCCTAACTCTGAACTGGAAAATAAAAACATTCAACGTATTTTTAAATAGGTCTCTGGGTTTCCTGTCAGCACCTGAACTCTCTTTGGCTCAAACATGGAATAAGAACGTTATGGAAAAACGTTCTTGGAAAGTTTATGGAATAAGAACATTAAATCGCTCAAAACTTTCCTAGAGCCCCGCTGAAACAGGCTCCATCAAACCTCAAAGTTGTTGCTCAGACACTAAGACTGTTTTGGCGCACGAAGAGGGGTGTGTAGCGGACTGCACGGCTGGTGTGCCTGGGAAGGAAGGGGTACAAGTGGAGAGAGGTGCAGGTGGAGGAAGTCAGGAGATGCAGTGGAGAGGAAGGGGTGCAGGCGGGGAAGAAAGCTGGGAGACACGTGGGCGCTCAGGCTGCGTGGCTAGTCCACATGCGCCGTACATCCGCCCGCGGGAACTGGGCCCGGAGTGTCTGGGGAAGACAAGCACCACACCCGAGGCCCGGGCGGAGCGTTACCGGAGGACGTGCGCTCCTGCAACGCGGGAGACATGCAGCCGAGGCTCCTCCTCCTCAGGCGCAGGGCACGGAGGGGAAGTCTCCACAGGGTACCGCCGAGAGCAGGGATGGCTGATGTCGGGCGGGCCACGGAGCCCGGGAGGCCGGGAGCAGCAGAGAAAACCGGAGGAGCGGGACGACGTTGCGCGGGGCCGGGACGGGCCCTCTCTGCCCCAAGCTCGGACACATGAGAGCACTGCAGACTTCTGCCTCCACCAAGCCTCCGCGCGGAGTCCCGCCCCCGGCCTGTTATTGGTCTGTGCGAGCTTGTCGCGGCCCTATTGGCTGTCGGTCTCAACCAATCGCCTTAGGCTCGCCCCGGGGCTCTCTGGGAGGCGCAGTAGGGGTCTAGTTCCAGCTAGGTGGGCCCGTCTCTACGCCCCGGATCCGGAAGTGCGGACGCGTGGCGGCTGGGAATGTCAACCGTGGTGGGAGTGGGTGCTAACCAGCACGGGTGTGATGTCCAGGTTCGGAACTTGAGTCGAAAGACCAGGCTCTAATCACGTTCCGTTATTGCCTGGCACTGAGCGAGATATTTACCCTCTTAGTCTTCAAGCTCCACAAACAGGAAAAGATGGGGAGGTAATAGGTAATTACTACTTCATAAGGCTGGAGTAGGGATTAAATGAAACCCTTGAATGCTCTTCGGAAACTGAAGTACGTAAGTGCATGTTAATTAATGCTCACTTATTGACAGTAAACATTTATTGGGCCCCTACTGTGTGGCAGGCATTGGGATGCAAAGCCAGACAACCTGTGTCACACCCCCACCTCTGTCTTAGAGGAACTCACAACCTAGTTAAGACTAATTGAGCAAGTTAAAAAAAAAAAATTTTTGTTTTCACATGCAGTGTGCCAAGGGAGCTTCAGGACTCAGGGGAGCTGGGGGAAGCTTCAGAGAATAAGGTGGATCTTAAAGGAAAAGAGTGTGTCGAATAAGACCGTTCCAGCTGGGAGAAAAATAGAACACAGCAGTTGTGAGATTTTTTAAAATAAAGGACAGCCCTGTAAGGATGAACGTGGTAGATGGGAGGAAAAGCAAACGAATCTAGAAAAAATAAAACGGAGACCAAATTATGAAGTTTACTAAGTCAAAAAACACACATGATTGCATGCCATTCTCATTTTACTGTATATAATTATACCTCAATTATTTTAATTACAAAATAATAATAATAAAGTGTGTAGCATTTTTACCAAAGATGGTCATACTTGGGAGGGAAAAAATGGAGAAAATGAAACAAAGAAGAGTGTGGGAGGAATGAGATGACCATAAATAACTGAAGACCTTAAGGTTTTAAGTGCTCGTTTTTAAATTATCACTTATCTCACAAAGTTTATTGATTCGTCTCTTGAAAAATAATCTTTCAGGCACTGAGTCATTTACAATCCCCTATCCTAGCAATAATTCCAGTAATTATGTATCAATCTCTGTTTTAAGCAAGTCATCACAAGTTTACTTTCTTGGCTAAAACTGACCAAATCCAGTATGTTCTTACTCATAAGCAGGTTAACAAGATTAAAGGACTACATAGTGTCTAAAGGGGCGGTGAATTCCTAGTACGCGAACAACTTAAAGTCCCAAAAATACTGTTAAAAATTAAATTGTGCCCCCCCCCCTCAAAAAAAAAGATGTGGAAGTCCTAAACCCCAGCCCTACAGAATGTAAACTTATTTGTTTTTGTTTTTTGTTTTTTTTTAATTAGTTTCAGGTGTACAACACAGTGCACTAGTTATACTCTTTACCCCTCAAAGTGACAACCCCCTCCCCCAATCCTCTGCCTCACTCCCCCACCCCGATATCATACATATCTATTACAATTCCATTGACTCTACTCCCACACAATACTCCACATGCCATGACTATATATATATTATATATTCAATTATAGTTGACATACA